ATATTTTTAACGTCTAATTTTAAAGTCCTCAACTTAACACATTATTAAGAGAATATGGATGAGGACCAGGAAAAGATCCTTTCCATGTTGAAAGAAAGAAACACATGAAACCATTCTTTCAGCTTCTGATAAAATAAGACCTAACATAATACAACAAGATGCCAGCTTAGATACACAAACCCAAACTTTGACTACAACCAAAGAACTAACAACACAGAAGATAACAGAAGAAGTGGAACAATCAAATATTAAGACAGAGGACTCAATTGATCAACAAATACAGTTAATGTAAAATCCAGAAAAGGGAGTGACAACACTGAAACTGGAAAAGACTTTCTATATAAATCAGAAAAAAATTGAGAAAGAAGAACAGATTGAATGGAAGATAAACATATCAGGACAATCATGGGGGATTGGAATAATAGGGAGACAATTTAATGAATACAAATGGGCTAGCCCTTCCAAAAAATGGCAACTAAATGGTCTCTCTTATTTCAAATAACATATATAATAATAGAGGAAGATCTATTTGAATGATCTAAAAGCACTGACATGGAAGGCTAGTTGGCAAAGGAAGAAAGCCAGAATAAAGCTGAAGAAAATTGGGGTTTTGACCCATTGGAGGGGATTTCATATTACTAATTAGAGCAGACATGTCAAACACAAGGCCCGTGGGCCAGATCTGGCCTGGGAAGGGCCCAGATTTGGTCCCCCGGGGCTGTCCCAGAAATGGCAAGGGACTGGCCCCCACTGCCCCAGTCCTGGCCCACCCCAACCCAACTGGGCGCCCTGGCGCACTCATAGGAAACGGCAAGCGCTCGGGCTGGTGGTGTGCAGCAGCAGCTGCAGCTCATTTGCCTCAGCCTGCCCCGCCCCTCCCAGCTTAACCGCATCACGCCCAGCCACGCCCCACTTTGCTGGGCTTCTGCTCGTGTTTGCCACACTGCGCTATGCCTTTCCTTGCTTGGGCCATGGTGTTCTGTAAGCCTAGCACCCCTAGGCATGCCCAGCCTATGGGATGAAAGGCGCAAAGATGTGAGCGCGCGGTGGCAAAAGCCAAGCATCGGCCGGCTCCCAGTCGCCCTCTCTGCCACGTGGTAGGGCCGGAGAGGGGAACGCAGCAGTTGTGCAGAGCGACAGCCTGGAACTGCCTGCGGCTGGCAACGTTAAACTCTGTGGTGGCTGGAGAGAAAGGGTGAGAAGAAGGAGAAAGCAGGAAGGGTTTCTCTCTCTGTGTGTGTATGAGAGACAGACAGACAGAGAGAGAGAGCCAGGAGGGGAAGAGAACGAGGAGGAAGCCGAGGTGTTACAAAAAAGGAGAGCTTCCCCCGTTATTCCACCCCTTTTCTTTTTTTTTTAACCTCCTCCCGCTCCGTTCAGGTGCAGCTGGAGGAAAAGGACAAGAAAGCAGGAAGGGTTTCTTTGTGTGTGTGTGTATGTGAGAGAAAAAGACAGAGAAAGAGAGAGCCAGGAGGGGAAGATGGAGGAGATGGAGGAAGCCATGTTACAAAAAAGGGTGCTTCCACCTTTCTCCCCCCTTCTCTTTTTTTTAACTTCCTCCCGCTCCATTCAGGTGCAGCTGGAGGAAAAGGACGAGAAAGCAGGGAGGGTTTCTCTCTCTCTCTCTCTCTCTCTCTCTCTCTCTCTCTCTCTCTCTCTCTTTGTGTGTGTGTGTGTGTGTGAGAGAGAGAGAGAGAGAGAGAGAGAGAGAGAGAGAGATCTTTGTGGTCTATTCTTGCCTCCTCCCCTCCCTAAAACCCAGGCAATAATAGAACTCTTTGGATTGAATGGGAAGTTAAGAGGAATTGGTGTGAGTGGAAGTTAAAAGGCCGAGTCAACCCCCCCCCAATTATTTTATTGGAGACGTGTAAAGTGTTTCTTGCTCCTACTTCCCTCATCTGCTCTTTTTATAATTTAATCCAGCCTTGCCCAAACTAATATCTTTTGGGTGTCATGGACCACAATTCCCATCATCCTGTGGCTATGCTGGCTAGAAATGCAATGCCTTATTTTCTCTGTAGTATGTGCCTAGGAGGCAGTAGGTCTGTGGGATTTAGATGTATTTAAACATTTGTTTCTTCTGCCTAATTTATTAAATCGACATCTAATTCAAAATTAAACATTTCTGAGAAATCCAGGGTGGCTTTCAAGAAAACTCTCAAAGACAGCTATTGTAAAGCATCACCAGCACTGCTTAAAACAATATTAAAAGGATGTATTCTAAGAAAGAAAAATAGTAGTAGTAATTTACTTAGTGCTGTTTGACCATAAAATGTGTTGTTCGACATATGCCTGGCTGAACAGTGTGTTTGGAGTTGCCTCTAAATGGGTGAGGGATGCACTGTTCATATTTTCCTTGGGAGAAAGTTCTATAATTGGGGTGCTGTCTCTGAGAAGGCTCTGCTTGTGACCACTGTTCTATAAACCAAACCAGGGNCAGTGTTCCAATATTTGATGGGCTGCCACAGAGAAGAAGGGGTCAATCTATTTTCCAAAGCATCAGAAGGCAATAATAGATGGAAACTAATCAAGAAGAAAACCAGCCTAGAACTAAGGACTTGTGAAAACAAATAACCAGTGAAAAGGCTTGCCTTCAGAAGTTGTGGATGCTCCATCACTGGAGGCTTTTAAGTAGAGATTGGATATTCCACTTTCTGGAATGGTATAGGCCCCCTGCTTGAGCAGGGGCTTGGACTAAAACCTCAAAGGTCTGTTCCAACTCTCTTATTCTTTGAGAGAAGTGCTAGCAACCTATCCCCCTCCCCTCGTCCCTTCCTGGGTACAGAGAGAGGGAGGGAGGGAAGGAAGGAAGGGGAGGGAAACAGGAAGAAAGAAAGGGAAGGAAGGAAGGAGATGGGAATGAAAGGAAGGCAGGGAAGGAGGGGAGGGAAGGAAGGAAGGAAGGAAGGAGATTGGAATAAGAGGGTGGGAGGGAGGGTCTGAGGGAAGTCCTGCCTTAGCAGTTGGCCACCAGCAGCCCTGTTGCCCTTTTGCCATCCCCTGGTGGTCTCCCATGCTATTGCTGAGGATGCTTTGGTTACAAAGCCAGTTCTCCTCTCATGGAGAGGGAGTCGGCCTCTCTCTGACCCACGCACTTTGCCCTCCTGCACCCACCATGAGCAACCTGGCCAAGGAGAGTGAGTACAGCAGTAGCAGCCTTGAGGAGGTAAGCGCAGCTGGGCGCCCCCTCGGGGAAGTGCGTCTATGCTAGACAGGGCTGTGGGGTCCTGGTGCCATGGGAGCTCAAGGGCTGGGCTGGGTGCTTGACCTCCACTGCCCAGGGCTCCAGGCAGTCCGTGCCACCATCCAGGGGCCCTGTGCACAGCCTGAGGCTCAGTGAGGCTCCTCCATTGGACCATGCCCTGGCGCTTGGCCCGGTCCTACCCCCCTTCTGCCAGAGACCCTCAGATCCGCCCCAGTCCTGCCCAGGCCTGCACAGGTGCCCCTGATGCAAGTGACATTGAGCTGGCCACGCCCACCCAGTAGGCCACACCCACACCAGACACGCCACCCAGTAGGCCATGCCCATGCCAGCCACGCCCACCCAGCCCCCCAATGGCAACAACAGTGCTGATGCGGCCCTCAATGAAATTGAATTTGACACCCCTGTCTTAATGATTGACACAAAAAAGTCATAAAATTGTACAATCATCACAACTTACGAGCATGATGGATATAAGTCAAGACAATATTTTAAAATAACAAATTCAAGAAAAGGGTTGATCCTTAACCTTAAGCTTTATATTCTTGAAAGTGGTGGCCTAAGAAAAACTTACTTGCTATTAAATTCCTTCATTATAATTTTCAGCATTATAATATTAATATAGTTAGTTGCAAATCTAGTGATGCTAGTAGCAATATTATGTAGTATCTTTTGAACAACTTCTAATGTCCTTTTCATAAGTTGGAAAAATAAATTATTTTTAGTATAGAATATATATTATCCTTGGGCTACTAAATTTCCCTCTTCATTTGTCATCAGCAGTTCCAAATTTATCATTCTGTTTCCAATTAAGATTTCTTTTTACTTATGTTGTTTTATTTGAACAATAAGGTCTTAAAATTTTACATTGCAACTATACATTGCACTATATTTTTAAATATGGTCTTATGAGGTAGATATCCAGATCTCTAATCTAAGGATGTTGTTCAGATGATGGAGCCAATTTAATTAGAGCTGTGAAAAAGGGTTACATATTTTCCCTTGTTGAAAAAGATAAAAATATTTGGTCACTGCTCAGTTTATAGACTTTGGGTTTTGTCTTCCCTTTAGATCTTTCTTTGGGTAATGATATTTTCTCCCTAACCTTAAATGCTGTCCTTCCTGAAAACTCTGGTCTGAAACCAATTTTATTATGATAAATATTATTCTAGCTTGTTACTTCCTTCTTTATTTAATATGTGGTACTACCTGTATTTTCTTGAAAAATATTCTACTATAAAAAATGTTGCGTTATCCCCACTATGCTCTTAATAATTTAACTGTTAGTGTCCTTGTTCATGCTCTTAAATAAATGAGCAAGAATCAAGGGCTCGTGTCAAGCAGGAATAGTTTATAAAACAGGAATCAGGCCACAAACTTCTTTAATAAATACAATGATATATATTTATTTGTACATGGTAAATTAGGGCTTATAGATTAGAATATGGAAAGAAAAGATGTTCATATGGAAAACATAACTAGATGAACACAAAATGGAAGATGTACTTTAAGTTTTAGACTCAAACAGTATATTAGAATGTTTCAAGTTAGCAAAGTCAGGATTTGATTTGTGATCTCATTGCTAAATTATGGTGTTTCCAGTCCCAATTAGTGTTCTTAAGTGAGACTGCCTATAGTCCACTTCTTTCTGATTGGTCATTTAGTATTGAGGATTTTGTCCTATACTATTTGAAAGAATAGAATATTATTTAGATATAACTTCAACTCTTTTGATTTGTCGATCTAGCTGATTTGGTTTGAAAACATCATTTTAATTCCGCTTTTCTTTGTTCCACAGATACTGAACATCTTTATACTGTTGTATTCCAAGAAATCTGCAGTCGTTTTGGGAAAACCTACACCTGGAATGTGAAATCCTTAGCAATGGGTAAAAAAGCATCAGAAGCAGCAGAAATAATTTGTGATGCACTAGACCTCCCAATCACCAAAGAAGAGCTGTTACATGAAAGTAAAATCATGCAAGAAAAATTGTTTCCTACAGCTATGTTGATGCCAGGTATTTTGTTTCTTCAACTGAGTGTGCCTATCAAATTCTATCTTTACATTTTCAGTCTAATGGATACTTTTTTCTTGTGCCTGATTAACTTAGCATTGCTTTGGAACTTAAGAAAGACTGAGATATATTCCAATAATATCTTTATATAATAGAAATTAAGTGATAATAGAAAAATAAAGCTGTTTTGCCTGTAATCTTTCTATGCTATCATTTCTATGCTAAATGCAGTTTCAAAAAGCTGGTCAGCAATAATGAGGGCTTTTTCTGAACTATATGACTACAGATGGTCATCTTCCTTCCATCAGCAGATCAAAGTGTGTTTGTTTGATAAAGGTATCTCAATGTTCTGAAAGAGAAAAACCTTTTCTGCTCCAGTATGTAGCATCTGCATGAGAGGTGAGGGTGATGGCCAGCTTTTCAATATGAGCTTCTGCAGAAATTAGAAGAATTGACCAACACCAAATAAAACACAAGTTCAGATGAAAGTATCTTCTGTCAACTTTTATTCTAGACAGTGGAGAAAATATCCATCCCAAACCTTTACCTTTTCCAAAAGTACAGTGCAGTTGTTTATAAACTAGTGGAAATACTGCTGGAAAGAGGAAAGAGTCCATGGAATCTGCAATAAACTGCTGTCAGCCTTTCCATTCTCATGGTTTCTTAAAAGGCATAATGATAACTCATTGGACTTACCATTGGCAGCAAAATCTTACTTTATAGAGTTTGTTGAACATGATTAATGTACTGAAAAATGCATTAATATTTTTTCTGAAAACTATTTTCTTGTACACCGAAAATATAGTACTTTTTCTTACTTTAGAACTAGTAATTCATATATATACATTTATATGTTTGAATACATTTGAGCATAGGATAAATATGAATAATGAATCTGATGCTATGAAAGTTTTTTTTAAAAAGAAAGCAATAAACTGGTGCTATCTTCCTCTTCCTCTATCATTAGTCCACCTTTTTAAAACAGATTTTAATGAAATTTATTTTTATATTTCATTTTTGTCTAAATTCGGGAAGTTATTGCAACAGTAATGCAGTCTCCAATCTGCTTCAACATTAAAGATAATTTAAAGTCTCTCATGCTTACTTCTATGGATCACTAATTTTAGCAAATACTTAGCAGCAATGTTTTATGTTTTATGTGGTATGGATTCTAATTAACTTTAGCTAATCAGGAAGTAGCACAACAATGGAAGTTCATTTCTCAGATTTTTGAATTAGAGAGTTGCCAAAACCCCATAAAATTACTATTTTATATTCTTAACATTTAGTGCTCTGAAAATTTGTCTTTTGGGAGAAATGCCATGAGCAAAATAATTTTCTGGATGTAGTGTTTTTGGAAAAGTACAACAATTTTGCAACTCTGTCCATTAGGACTACAGAGCAAAATACCCAATGCCACACAGTAGATACCATTGAAGCTCTAAAATAATAAACTTTCTCACATTTATAAACTTCTCAGTAATCTAGCGAAGAGCAAAAATTTGGTCTTTCCTGCTGTCCCAAATTTCCTGCTGTCCCAATTTTTTTCTTTATTGTAACTTCTCAGGATTGATTATCTGCCATCAAGTTATTTTCACCTCCTGATGACCACGTAGTTACTCTCATACTATTTCATCATGTTCCCATAAACTAATTCCCATAAAGTTTTGCATTCTCTCTTTCTGCTTTCCTTCCTTCCTTGGGCTTAGTCAGATGCAATTTTCACATACAAATTAACCAATTATATCACTATACTGGAAACATACCACTATATTTTAACATGACTTTAGTAACTCATATGTACCTGCAATCTTACAGTTTTCATGATTTATCAATTGTTGCTTATGTTTTTTCTTGAATTCTTAAAGTTTATATCATTTTAATTCCATTTATTGTATTACTGTCATTTCTATGTAACTCTATAATAGAACACTTTTTGCAACAGTCATTCAATCAATCAGAATAGAGCTGGAAGGGACCTTGATGGTCTTCTAGTCCAGCTCCCTGCTCAAGCAGGAGACCCTATACCATTTCAGACAAGTGGCTGTCCAATCACTTCTTAAAAACCTCTAGTGATGAAGCACCCATAACATCTGAAGGCAAGCTGTTCTAATGGTTAATTGTCCTCACTGTTAGGAAGTTTCTCCTTAATTCCAGGTTGCTTCTCTCCTAGATTAGTTTCCATCCATTGTTTCTTGTCTTGCCTTCTGGTGCTTTGGAAAATAAATTGACCTCCTCCTCTTTATGGCAGCCTCTCAAATACTGGAATACTGCTATCATGTCCCCCGATAGGGCTCATTGTTCTAGTCTGTCAATATCTTTTTGGATCCTGAGCTTGTCTTCTGGGGTGTTGGCTATCCCTGCCAGCTTAGTGTCATCTGCAAATTTGATGCATTCCCCTTCTATTATCTCATCTAAGTCATTTATGAAAATATTGAAGTATTGGGAGTAAGATGGAACCTTAGAATAGAATAGAGCTGATCAATTTCCAACCATTGTTTCTTGTCCTGTCCTCTGGGACTTTGGAGAATAATATGACCTCCTCTTCTTTGTGGCAGCCCCTCAGATACTGGAATACTGCTATCATGTCACCCCTATTTCTTCTTTTCTTTAGACTATGCAAACCCAAGTCCTGCAGCCATTCTTCGTATGTTTTAGTCTCCAGGCCTTTGATCATCTTAGTTGCTCTTCTCTGAACTTTTTCCAAGGTCTCAACATCTTTTTTGTAGTATGGTGACCAAAATTGGTTGCAGTATCCCAGGTGTGGTCTCACTAGGGTACCCCACTGCTTATTTCCCTCCATGTAGATGTAGTACCATTAAGGTATAATAAACTAATTTAGTCACTTTGTCAAAGAATGAAATAAGATTTATTTATAACTTTATTTTTTTCTAAATGTTCACAGATCTGTTTTTTTTATTATTTTTTGCAGTATTTTTCTGATTATTTTTTTCTAGTATCTTTCCAGATATTGATGTTAGACTGATTGGTCTCTAGTTTCCTGGATCTGTTTTTTCCCCTTTTTTGAAGATGTTAACCACATCATCTCTTTTCCTATCCTCTGGTAGTTCCCCAGTGCTCCAAGATTTTGTAAATACAATGGTTCTAAGATAACATCTGCCAGCTCCTTCAGAACTCTGGGATGTAATCATCAGGCCTGGTGATTTATATTCATCAAGATCAGATAGGTATTCTCTTACTGTTTTCTTGCTTATTTTAATTTTTATTTCTAGTCTGTCTTTTACAGTTATGTTTTTGGTAGATTGGGCTATAGTTTCTCTGCTTTCTCTCTACTGCCTGTTACTTCCTTGCCATCTTCTCTCTTTAGTGGTCCAAGTGTTTCCTTGACTTTTTTCTTGTTATACATAATGTTGAAAGAAACTTTTTTTAATCGTTGACTTTTGTTGCAAGTCTTTGTTCATTCTGAGCCTTTGATTTCCTGACTTCATCTTTGCAGATTTGGGCTATCTGCTGATATTCTGCTTTAGTTATGTGTCCTTCTTTCCATTTGTTGTACTTATCCTTTTTGTCTTTCAGTTTATCAGACAGATCTTTCTGCAACCATGCTGGTTTCTTCTTGGATTTCTTGTTTTTTTGTTTATTAGTGGTATTTTGTTGGGCTGGGCTTTTATGATTATATTTTTCAGTGTTTCCCATGTTTCTTGAGTTGTTTTCCCCTTTAGGATTTTTATCCATGAAATTTTCCTTAGGCTCTCTCTGAGTTTATTAAAATCAGCTCTTTTAAACTTTAAGGCACTGGTTGGATTATATTTTATGGCTTGTGCTAGAAGCTGATCTTTCATAATTGTTGGCTTCAAAATGGTCTTACTTTTTGAGTACCCTTTTGTTTTCTTTTATACATTAATTCATGCTATCCAACATATTTCCATTTCCCCTTTCCATTGATTATGCTTCATCTGGAATATTGCACATTTTTTCCCAATTATTCATTCTGAATTTTTTTATTTCTCTTCACCAAAACAGCACCATTCAAATACTTATAACCTGTATATTCCTTCTTTTTAAATCTAGCACAACATTCCAGATAGATATATAGATATAGATATATATTTTAGTTCTTTAATACATAACTGCATTTATTTTTTCTGTTTCCTGTATGTATCTATAGCCCCCTTGTCAGAACCCATATCTGTCTGATCTCATATTTCCCTTGCTTCTTTCTCGAACCCAAATTCCATTCTCTTCTCTCCCTGGGTTCTGCCATACTCCTAGAGGGGAGGGGGGAATGATCGTGGGTTTATTGCCTTAGCTTCCTCTATCGCTACAATGTAACACTCTTCTCTCCTGCATTATTTCTTAGCTTCCTCTATCACTAAAATGTAACACTGCTTTCCTGCACTATTTCTCTCTGTAATTTCCTCTCCTTAAACTGTCAACTAGAAAAGGGGGAGGTAGAAAGGAATGCAGCCTCCGGCGACCGGCTTATCTCTCCGTTCTCAAGAGAAGGTGCGAAGAATCGCCTAATCATCACAATTACAGCCAGAGCTGGCCTGATGTTATCTTCCCTTTCCCATGATGGACTTAACACCTGGAGATTGGCTGGTTTGAACCGTCTGGATGAACTAGGGGGTGGGATTTGCTTGGGGACACTTTAAATTATTGATCTGAGGGGGAACCCCTCAGATCCTGTCTAGTATGCCCGCTATTGGCTTCTCCAAATAAAAGTTCTTTTTGGAAGAGCTTGCTTCCATGAGTTCTGCTTTCTTGGGATGAGGTATTGAAGCGGGTGCTGACATTAGACAGGATCTGCAATAGAGGTCAACCCAGAAGGACAGACCTTGCTGGGGGACCTTGCAAAATCTACCATGTCGGACACTGGTGCAGAGAAGGAGGAAGCCACTGTGAAAGGGGAGCGCTCTGGTTGGAACCCTGCCAGCTATCTGACATCCTACACCTCGGAGGAAGAGGTGGTGGAGATGCCCAACTGTAAGCCTCACTGGTCCATAGGTGTAGGCAAGAAGGACTAGTGGGAGAAATAATCA